ATAATAAAAATCAGAGCAGAAATAAATGAAATAGGGAATAGAAAAACAATAGAAAGAATCAACAAAACCAAAAGTTGGTTCTTTGAAACGATCAACAAAATCAACAAACCACTGGCCAAACTGACAAAAGAAAAATAGGAGAGGATGCAAATAACCCAAATAAGAAATGAAATGGGGGACATTACAACAGACCTAACTGAAATAAAAAGGATCATAAAAGAGTAATACGAAAAACTATACTCCAACAAATTTGAAAACCTAGAGGAAATGGGTAAATTTCTAGAAACACACTACCTACCCAAACTAACTCAAAATGAACAGACCCATAACAAGAGAAGAGATTGAAAAGATTAAAAAAAACTCCCAACAAAAAAAAAACCCTGGCCCAGATGGCTTCACTGGAGAATTCTACCAAATATTCAGAGAGGAGCTTATACCAGTACTATTCAAACTATTTCAGAACATAGAAAAGGAAGCAATACTTCCAAATTCATTCTATGAAGCCAGCATAACCCTGATACCAAAACTAGGCAAAGACACCACGAAAAAAGAAAATTTTAGACCAATATCCCTCATGAATACAGATGCAGAAATTCTCAAAAAAATTCTAGCCAATAGAATTCAGCATCATATTAAAAAAACAATACAACACGACCATGTAGGATTCATACCAGGTATGCAAGAATGGTTCAACATTAGAATATCAATCAACGTAATCCACCACATAAATTAAAAGGAAAGACAAGTATCACATGATCATCTCAACTGATGCAGAAAAGGCATTCTACAAAGTCCAATACACATTCCTGATAAAACTCTCAATAAAATAGGTATAGAAAGGAAATTTCTCAACACAATACAGGGCATCTATGCAAAATCAAGGGTCAACATCATTCTTAATGGAGAAACACTGAAAACATTCCACTTGAGAACAGGAACAAGACAAAGATGCGCTTTATCACCACTCCCATTTAACATTGTGCTGGAAGTCCTAGCTAGAGCAGTAAGGCAAGAAAAAGAAAGGGCATCCAAACTGTTAATGAAGAGGTTAAACTGTCCCTGTTTGTGGATGACATGATACTATACATAGAAAACCCGAAAAACTCCATGAGAAAACTACTGGAACTAATAGAAAGATTCAACAGAGTAACAGAATACAGGATAAACATACAAAAATCAGTTGGATTCCTATATAGCAATAGAGAGAACGATGAAAAGGAAATCAGGAAAACAATACCAATTATAATAGCCCTTAAAAAAATAAAATACTTAGGAATAAATCTAACCAGGGACGTAAAAGACCTATACAAAAAAACTACAAAACACTACTGTAAGACACCAAAAGAGACCTACATAAATGGAAAAACACACCAAGCTCATGGATAGGTACACTCAACATTGTGAAAATGACAATGCTACCCAAAGCATTTTACAAATACGATGCAATCCCGATCCAAATACCAACAATATTCTTTAAAGAGATGGAAAAACTAATGACTAACTTCATATGGAATGCGAAGAAGCCCCGGATAAGTAAAGCATTACTGAAGAAGAAGAATAAAGTAGGAGGACTCGCACTACCTGACCTTAGAACCTACTATACAGCTACGGTAGTTAAAACAGCCTGGTACTGGTATAACGACAGATACACTGACCAGTGGAACAGAATTGAGAACCTAGATGTAAATCCATCCACCTATGATCACCTGATCTTCAACAAGGGCCCAAAGTCCATCAAATGGGGAAAAGACAATCTTTTTAACAAATGGTGCTGGCAAAACTGGATGTCCATCCGCAAATGAAACAGGACCCATACCTCATACCATACACAAAAACTAATTCCAAATGGATCAATGACCTAAATATAAAGCCAAAAAGTATAAAGTTCATAGAAGAAAAAATAGGATCAACACTAGAGGCCCTAATACACGGTATTAACAGGATACAAACCATAACCAACAACACACGAACTCCAGAAGATAATCTAGATATCTGGGATCTTCTAAAAATTAAACACTTATGCTCATCAAAACACTTCACCAAAAGAGTAAAAAGAGAACCTACAGACTGGGAAAAAATTTTGGGTTATTCAAATCAGACAAAAGTCTAATCTCTAAAATCTACAGGAAAATCCAGTACCTCTACAATAAAAAAGACAAATAATCCAATTAAAAAATGGGCAAAGAAAATGAACAGACACTTCACCAGAGAAGACATTCAAGGGGCCAAGAGACACATGAAGAAATGGCTGGGATCACTAGCCACTAGAGAAATGCAAATCAAAACCACAATTGATATCATCTCACCCCGGCATTACTGGCACAAATCAAAAAAACAGGAAATAACAAATGTTGAAGAGGCTGCGGGGAGATCGGAACTCGTGCTCTGCTGGTGGGAATGCATAATGATACAACCATTTTGGAAAATGATATGGTGCTTCCTTAGAAAGCTAGAAATAGAAATACCATACAATCCAGTGATTCCAGTCCTAGGAATATATCCTAGAGAAATAAGAGGTGGCACACAAATAGACATATGCACACCCATGTTCATGGCAGCATTGTCCTCAACAGCAAAAAGATGGAAACAACCTAGATGCCCATCAACTGATAAATGGATAAACAAACTATGGTACATACACACAAAGGAGTATTACACAATGACAAAGAACAATGATGACTCTGTGAAGCACCTCATAACATGGATGAAACTGGAGGACATTATGCTGAGTGAAATAAGTCAATCACAAAAGGGCAATATATTGTATGAGACCTCTATTGTAAAAACTCATGAAAAAGTTTACACACAAAAAGTAACAATCTTTGTTCGTTACCAGGGATGGGAGGGGTGAGGGAGGAAATACTAAACAGACAATAGATAAGTGGTAACCTTGGTGAAGGGTAAGACAGTACACAATACTGGAGAAGCCAGCAAAACTTGGACAAGGAAAAGTCATGGAAGCTGCATAGACACATCCAAACTCCCTGAGGGACTAAATTGCTGGGCAGAGGGCTGTGGGGACCATGGTCTCAGGGAACATCTAGCTCAATTGGCATAACACAGTTTATAAAGACAATGTTCTACATTCTACCTTGGTGAGTAGCGTCTGGGGTCTTAAAAGCCTGTGAGCAGCCATCTAAGATACTCCACTAGTCTCACCCCTTCGGGAGCAAGGGAGAATGAAGAGAACAGGATGCAAGGAAAAGATTAGTCCAAAGGACTAATGGACCACAGCTACCAAGGCCTCCACCAGACTGAGTCCAGTACAGCTAGATGGTTCCCGGCTACCACTGACTGCTCTGACCGGGATCACAGCAGAGAGATCTGGACAGAGCTGGAGAAGGATGTAGAACAAAATTCTCACACACAAAAAATGAGCAGATTTACTGGCCTGACAGAGACTGAAGAAATTCTGAGAGTATGGCCACCGGACACCCTTTTAGCTCAGTGGTGAAGTCACTCCTGAGGTACACTGTTCAGCCGGGGATTGGACAGCCCCATAAAACAAAACAGGACTAATTAGGCACAGCAGTCCAGGGACAAGGACTGGAAAGCAGGAGGGGACAGGAAAGCTGGTGACAGGGAACATTCTTGTTTTCCAGTAAAAAGGAGATTTCATGAGCAGAAACATTGGGCTGCTTGATGTTTCAACAACCAAGAGAATGTTTCTGAGCAGATTCTGAGCAAACATTTCTTCAACTTGATCACAGATCTGGAGTCTTCACTCCCTATAATGGCACTGCCAGACACAATCATGTTAGCTCCTGCCTCTGCATACTTCTGGACAGCGTCAAGACCTATACCACCATCAACCTCTATGTCCAAAGATGGGACTGGGTCCTCAACCAGTGAACCTTTGGCATCATGTTGTCCATGAATTTCTGCCCTCCAAACCCAAGTATCACTGTCATAACCAAGGCCATATCTATCTGATTGGCCCATGCTGCCAAATACTCAACTGTAGTTACTGGTTTGATGGTAAGACCAACCTTCATCCCATTCTCCCGAATATCTTTAATCAAAGCCCCTGGGTTCTCAGTGGCTTCAAGATAAAAGGTGTATCGATTGGCCCCTGCTATAGCCATCGGCTTTAACCACTGTTCAGGCCTGGACACCATCATGTACATGTTAAAGAAAGGGTCCTGGCCTAGATGCTTTTGGAGGCTTTCTACCACAGGGTGACCAAAGGTGATGCTGGGAACAAAATGCCCACCCATTACATCCAGGTGCAGATAATCGGCCCCAGAGTCCAGCATCTGGAGGCACTCTGCCACTAAACTGGCCAGGTTGCTATTGAGGATGTCTGGGCCAGTCTTGCAGCTGGACACCATGGTGTCGGTTCTTCTCATTTTCTTTTTTTTTATAATTTATTTTTTGTTGAGACTATACACAGCAAAACATACACCAATTCAACAGTTTCTATATGTACCATTCAGTGACACTGATTACATTCTTAGACTTGTGCAACCATTCTCACTCTCCTTTTCTGAGTTCTTCCTCCCTCATTAACATAAACTCACTGCCCCTTAAGGTTCCTATCTAATCTTTTCGAGTTGCTGTTGTCAGTTTGAGCCCGTATAGATAGATCTAAAAAAGCATAATGCTCAAGGCAGACATTCTTTACTAGCTAAGCTAAACTATTGTTTGGTTTTAAGAAGACTTCAGGGGATATTTTTGGTTTAAGGTTTAAAGATTTTCTCTGGGCAATAGTTTCAGAGGTTCATCCAGCCTCCATGGCTCCAGAAAGCCTGGATTCCATGAAAATCTGAAATTCCATTCTGCATTTTCCCCCTTTTGGCCAGGATTCTTCTATAGAATCTTTAATCAAAATGTTCCGTAATGGTAGCCAGGCACCATCCAGTTCTGATCTCATGGCAGAGGAGGTAGTTGTTCATGGAGGCAGTCAGCCACACAGCCATTTCCTCTTCCTGTTCCTGACTCTCCTTCTTTCTCTGTTGCTCCAGGTGAATAGAATTGTTATGCCTTGGATGCAGTACCATTTTCTTATTCTCTCCATACAGTACTTTTAAAAAACTAGAAAATTAGATAACTTTTCACTGGTGGAACTCCGTTATTATGCCTCTAATTAAATTGTCTGTGGTGCTATTAAGGAACACAATCTTTCCCCAACATTTGGCACCTTTCAGTTTTATCTGGCAGCTCGAAACGCCTCACTGCAAGGGGGTCCTTCCCAGGTCTGCTCTTGTTATTCCAGGCTACAGATCATTGTCTCCTCTAAATTAGAACTTTAAATATAGGTTGAAATAAATCAGATAATTTAAATACCCTAACACGTTAATAGTTATTCAGTCTGTGTGCTGAGCAAATAATCCAAGAAACTGGACTATGTGAAGAAGAAGAGGAATCAGGATAGGAGGTAGACTCATTAACAACCTGCGATATGCACGTCACAACCTTGCTTTCTGAAAGCAAACGGGACTTGAAGCACTTACTGGTGAAGATCAAAGACCACGAACTTCAGTATGGATTACACCTCAACATAAAATAAAAATCACCACAACTGGACCAATAAGCAACATCATGATAAACGGAGAAAAGACTGAAGTTGTCAATGATTTCATTTTACTTGGTCCACAATCAACGCCCATGGAAACAGCAGTCAAGAAATCAAACACTGGGTATTGCATCGGGCAAATCTGCTGCAAAAGACCTTTTTAAAGTGTTAAAAAGCAAAGATGTTACTTTGAGGCTAAGGTGTGCCTGACCCAAGCCACCATATTTTCGATTGCCTCATACACCTGGAAAAGCTGGACAATGTATAAGGAAGACCAAAGAAGAATTGATGCCTTTAAATTATGGTGTTGGCAAAAAATATTGAATGGACTGCCAGAAGAACAAACAAATCTGTCTTGGTAGAAGTACAGCCAGAATGCTTCTTAGAAGCGAGGATGGTGAGACTTCGTCTCCTGTACTTTGGACATGTTGTCAGGAGGGACGAGTCCCTGGAGAGGACACTATGCTCGGTAAATTAGAGGGTCAGCAAAAAAGAGGAAGACCCTCAAGAGATGGATTGACACAGCGGCTGCAACAATGGGCTGAAACGTAGCAATGATGGTGAGGATGGCTCAGGACAGTGCAGTGTTTCTTCCTGCCTCTATGAGTCCGAACCCACTGGAGGGCACCTAACAAAAACAACACGTTAATGACCTATAACAGCACAATAGGTGGCATCTCTGAGGCATTTGTTAAAAAAAAAAAGTCTAAATAGGTACAAAAATGCAGCTCTAAGTATAGAATTCCAAGCACACTGGCAGGTATGATTACGTATTGTCTATTTGGTAGATGTAGGACTCTTTTTAACGCCCCTGAAAACAAGTCCTATGAGTACCAGAACCCACTCATGTCACCTAACAACAACAACAAAAGTCCATTTAGTCCACTCACTTTCACTTGTTGGGGGTATTAAAATGAGGATTTCCATAGATATAGCAGATATACTAGCTTTAAAAAAAGTTTAAAAAGCTACTCATCACAATTTCCTTTTCAAAAAGTGTTTTGATAAGCCCAATGATAACTTATTTACTCTTTTATTGAAGTTAGCAGAATATTTTGTCATTGGCTTAAAATTAAAGAAATGATATAAAAGATTAATACATGGAAGGACGGTAAGGCCCAAAATATCAAAGTAGCTCCAGTTCTCTCGGCTGGACTCCTCATCCCAGTCAATTACATAAATCCTTGATTTGTTAACTTTTGGAACCATATCTGATATATTTGACCAGAGGGAGTAGCCTTAGAGTGTGGCTAAGAAACTAATCAGGAAAAAAAAAAAAGAGAGAGAGAGAGATGGAAAAGTAGAATGTTTCTAAAAAGCGGTGGGACTTAGGTTGGAAGCCAGGAGAAAACGGGAGCGTTCCTTCATCACTGAACAAACATTTATTCTGTGCCACCCACGTGGCCGGCCTTCGCTATTAGTCTCTCCTCCGGATGGGTGCTTCTCGTGGACAAATTCCGGATTCTGATTATCTCAGGAAATTGAGTTGCCCTCACTTCCGATCTCTTCCTGCCTAAACTGGCTTCGGGCGGGGGATGGAGGGGTAGGGGGT